GGACGGCGCGGCCTGCGAGCGGAGCTGCCCGCCGCGGGCGCTGCGGGACCTGGAGGCCGAGTGCCGCAAGTACCCGGTGGTGGCCATCAAGGACGTGCGGCTGCTGGAGCTGGGCGCCCTGCTGCCCCTGCTGCGCGAGCCGGACCTGGACGTGAGGGTCATCCAGCTCTTCCGCGACCCCCGCGCTGTGCACAACTCGCGCCTGCGGGCCCAGGCTGCGCTGCTGAGGGAGAGTGTGCAGGTGCTGCGCAGCCAGTCCCTGCACCGCCAGCTGCCGCCCCCCGGGGGGCTGGGGCGGCGCCAGCGCCCACCCGCCGAGTTCTGGGTGAGCGGGGCGCTGGAGGTCATCTGCCAGGCCTGGCTGGGCGACGTGGCGCTGGCCCGCCGCGGCCCACCAGCCTTGCGGCGCCGCTACATGCAGCTCCGCTACGAGGACCTGGTGCGAGAGCCCCGGGCCCAGCTGCGCCGCCTGCTCGCCTTCACCGGCCTGGCTGCTCCACCTGCCCTGCTGCGCTTCGCCCAGCGCATGACCCACGGCACGGCCTACTCCTCCGACCGCCCCTTTCTGCTCTCCGCCCGTGACGCCCGCCGGGCCGTGACTGCCTGGAGAGAGCGCCTCAGCCGGGACCAGGTGCGCCATATCGAGACTGCCTGTGGTGACGCCATGCATTTCCTCTCCTACCCGCTTAGCGCCGGCCCCACCTAGCCGCGCTCTGGGTGAGTGGGGCACTGAAGGTCATCCAGGTAAGAGCCATCCACCTGCCTCACCTCACCTTTCTGCTGCAGCCTCCGCCTGCACCGGGGATCGGAGGGAAAGCTTTCTTGCCCCCCGTGAACACCTTTGGGGGGTACGTCGAGGGGGCAGCGACTGCAATATCTGCCCCAACACCTCTTTTCTCTTTTCTTTTTAAAGAGAAGCTAGAAGCTTTACTCACAGGCTGGGGCACGTCTGCAGAGGCTGCAGCCAGTGCGTGTCTGCCACAACGCAGGTGTTTCTCCGGTTAAAAGGAAAACAGAAGCTCTACTTATAGGTTGGGGCAGCTCTGGGGTGCAAATAGAGTGGTGCCTGCCACAATACCGATGTTTCCCACGTTACAAAGGAACTTCAAGCTTTACTTATAGGTTGGGTCAGGTCTAGGGCACAGATGGAGCCGTGCCTGCCACAACACAGATGTTTCTTCAGTTAAAAGGAAACCAGAAGCTCTACTCATAGGCTGGAGCAGTGCTTGGGAGCAGCTAGTGCAGTATTTGCTGCAATACCAATGTTTCTCCAGTTACAAAGAAACTAGAAGCTCTGCTCATAGGCTGGGGCAGGGCTAGGGGGTAGCTGGTGTGGTGTCTGCCCCAACATGGATGTTTCTTTCCAACATGGATGTTTCTCCAGTTAGAAGTCAACTAGTAGCTGTATGAATAGGCTGGGGCAGATCTAGGTGCGTGTTGTGGCAAACACACGCTGGCTGCTCCCGAAACCTGCCCCAGTCTGTGAGTAAAGCTTCTGGTTTCTTCTTAACTGGGGAAAAATAGTGTGAGGTCTACTGCAAACCCAATGTTTCTCCAGTTAGAAAGAAACTAGAAAATTTACCCATAGGCTGGGGTAGATCTAGGGGGCAACTAGTGCTGTGTCTATCACAATACCAATGTTTCTGTAGTTAGAAAGAAACTTGAAGCTTTACTCAGAGGCTGGGGCAGATCTAGGATGCAGATGTGTGTTGTAACAGACACTGCGCTAGCTGCCCCTTAGATCTTCCCCAGCCTATGAATAAAGCTCTGGGTTTCTCTTTAATTGGGGAAAAATAGGTGTTGTGGTAGACACCACGCTATTTTTCTCCAGTTAAAAAGAAACTAGAAGCTCTACTCATAGTCTGGAGCAGATCTAGGGTGCAGATAAGAGCAGTGTCTGCCACAACACCAGTGTTTCACCCCTTCCTAATTCCTAACTCCCACAGCTGGATTGGAGCCTGGCTGGATTGGGGCTGGGCTATGCCCCTCTCCCCTGCAGGACTGGATGGGACTGGGCTGCACCCCTTCCCAGGATGAGACACAGCCAGGGTCAGGCTGGGTTAAGTTCCCTTCCCCTGCATGGCTGGATCTCGTCCAGGCCTCTCCCCTCTGCTTTCCTCCACCCAGCCCTGTTGCTCCCTCTCCCAGTGCCAGATCAGGACCATTGCCTGGATCCAGTCCATGGACAAACTGGGCACCACCTATCCAGCCTACTGGACAAAAAGGTAGAGCACAACTACTGTCATCCACTGGAATTTGGTGTGCTTCTCCTCAACTGACTCCTTCACTTTTGCCTGACTAGAGATGCTACTGCCACTGTCAGGCAGTTGTTTTACAACTTAGGGTTGAGCAGGAATCAGAGGTGGGCAGGGGAGGATGCAACTTCACCTCTGTATCTCCCCACTCCCCTGCCTCTTTCCCCTCCTGGATCTGTCCCTGAGCACCTTAGAAACTAACTGGTTCAGACAGGCAGGAGCTTTTGTACACATCACCCAGTCTACTTCAACAATACCCAAACTTCCAGACAAATGACGTGGTGCAGGAGACACCTTCCCTCCCAGGGGCAGCTTAGAGACTAACTGGTTCAGACAGGCAGGAGTTTTCATGTGACATCTACAGTCTACTTCAGCCGTGCCCAACTTTCCAGACGTGGTGCACGGTTAGTTTGCGAGTGCAGTCTAGCATGCTATCCTGGCCCCACGTATTGCCTCAACCCCATGTGCCAGGATCCAGCTCTGCACTAGCCTCACCCCATGTACCTGGATCCAGCCATGGAGTGACTCATGGGTCCAGAAATTTGGTGGCAGGGGCATGGCAATTAGTGATGCCACCAGTCTCACCTGTAGCCAAATTTCTGGACTTCGTGGGGAGCCCTGCAGACTGGATGACATGGCTCTGCTGGCTGGGTCTGGCTTGTGGGCCAGAGATAAAGTACCACTGGTCTACTTAATCAGATGACCAACACAGCTAACTACCTCCCAGGGGAGGGAGAGGAAGGGGCCTGTTGGCTCTATTGAAGTTCCTGGGGTCCTGCAGTACCACCAGTAGGTATGTCTACCTTTCTGCCTCCCGTGTCTGCCCTTCCTGCTGGCAGGCACCAGATACCAAAAGAAATAATGTAGCTGTCATATGAAGCTTCTGTGTGAAGCACCTGCAATGCTGCTCTCCCTCCTGGGAGATAGCACTTATTCAGAGTTGTGGTAGACTGCTTTAACCACCGTTATGTTGCTCTTCTTTGGCATTTCTTAAACGTGAAGCAGGAGCAAGCAGGCAGGGTACGTTTTCATGGCAAACAGGCAGGGTGAGATGTGGTATAGGCATTCCCAGTGCAGGGCTGGAGGAGGGTTTCACACCCGCCATATAGCTGGGGTGGATCTGGCTTTGCCTGTGGCCCAGGGTTCTGGATTTATCCTCTGTTCACACTGGACCTGGGTTATCCAGACACTTCGTTAGGCCTGAATTCAACAGTGTCATTCTTTAAGCCTCAGATGTGTTAGGGAAAGACAAATTTCCTTCGCAAACTGTCAGGCCAGAAACAACGTGCAACAAACATGATAGTGAAAGCTCAACATCTGTAGTAGTAGACAGAAAAAAATATGAGTAGGCTGGAAATATGATACCCTTCAACAGAAGCATAGGGGAAGATCTTTTACTTGGGTCTTGTGTTGAGTAGCATCTCTACCGTTCTGTGAAGGCAGGGCAAATTAGTTCCCTGGCTTTAGTAAACCTGATGCTAAAAATTCCAAGGATTGGCCCACTTACTTGTTCCTCTATGAGACTGGACTGTATCTAATGGGAACAGCATGTTGTTAACTTGAAAATGTCAGGTAAAGAAAACTAATCTACTAACCTCTGTACACATAGCACTTCAAGCTTAATACTGAAAAAGCATATTCTCTCAGTTTATCTTTTTGCTTATTTCTTTTCCCCCACTCATCTTGACCAGTAGAAACATGCTTCTTTAAAACTGGACGGTATTATGTGTCAAAGGGACAACATCAACCAAAACTTAGCTTTGTATTTCAAGTCTGTGAAAAGAGATTCTTCAATTCAAAACTGGAAACAGTTGTTTCTAGGATCTGAAAAAAAAATCCTGTGACGGCGATTATCAGATAGTAAAGACTGGATAAAAGGAAAGTAACTATGTGCAAAAGTAGATCTCTCCTGAAACTTTTCATTGATCAAGTTAAAAGAAATATCAAGAACAAACACATAAATAATACTTAACTTGGAAGATTTTGAAACATAAACGTTAATAGTGTGAATCTTTTAGGCTACAAATGTTAGAGTAGAATCTAAAGTGCTGTTACATAAAGCAGGCTTCGTAAAACTTATCACAGAACAAAAATTCAGGGCCTGCCCTAACTGCCAGTCCTTCTGTGGTTGACTCTGCAAATTTATGATGCAGAAAAATACGGTCGGTTTAGGAGAGCTCTGCTTTCATTTCACTAACTCAGTAACTTGTGACTAGGATGGAACAGTCTTTGTCTACAGGGATTATAGAGGAGCCCTGCTAATACAGCATAGGGGAGGGGGAGGGGGGACGCATAAGGGGCGAGGAAAGGAGACATTTTCACTTTCTCTTATTTTAACGGAGAGCTATAAAACGTGATTAGAGGAGTGGAGTCAGCACTTGGCTACAATAAGCAGTCGGAAAAAGATCTGTTTCATTGGAGCTCTTAAATTTTCGTTAGAAAAATAAAGACTTCCTAAACTAGGAATATTGTTTTTAAATTGGTTTATACGAAGAAAAGGTAGATCTAGGATGACTAACATTTTCCCTTGGGATACCTTGTAAAGGCTGGAGACAGCAAAGTGAACCCTTTTATATTAACCCTTAATATTGAACATTGTTCTCAGTTAGTTGAGACAATTATTGTTCTTTCCTTACTTCCTCCCCGACACGTTATGTTGCAGCACCCCAGACTCTGTCAGTCACATCCCATCCAAACAATAACATCCCTTCATCTGGTAAACTTGCTTGTGCAGACTGATGCATGTGTTTCCTGACAAGGCTAAGACGGACTAATCCTGACAAAGTGCTTTTAAATGATGACTTGTTTTAAGGTGTTTAGGATTCAGCCTGGATTTTGTAACTGCTTTTGCCTATATTTCCTGGAACTAACTTATTCTGGTGTGTTTTCATTTGAGGAGGGAAGAAAGTTGCAATACATTTAGGAGTTGTAATACTTTAAGTTGTTGCAGACTCTGCTCAGCTTTTAGGCAATGCTGCAATGGTACACAATCACTGTTGCAGTCAGATATAAAATGGAAACCTTGAACCTCAATCAGGGCTAATCCAGGATCAAGAATAAAACTATACATGTTAAGTGCTGGAAATGAAGGCAGCTCTAAAGAAGTATTTTATTCCTGCTGTGAAGGAGTATTTAAATTACGTTGTAGGTTTTGATGAGTAGTATGTTGGAGAATATCAGTTTCCTTGTCTAACTGAAATCTTAATTTACTGTGGATCAGGGTTTTTCCCCTTCAAATGTGCTTTTTAACAGTAGAAACTGAGGGAGAACATATCCTATCGTCGTCAGAAACTATTTAATTTCACTCTACATGTTTATGCTGTTTTCCACGTCTGAGTTTCACTGTGAGATAGATACAGAGAATTTTTCACCCTTGTGCACTAAAATGACCTATTTTACCAGGGTCTTTGCTGTGTTGTCTTATAGCCTTATTGTAGTCAATATTGTTGCACAGGCTGTGAAAACAGAATTTGGCCGCAAGTAGTACAT